TCATGGACGTAGTTGGTGAGTTATTTTTAGTTCAATAAGCTGAACTTTTACCCTCTATAGTACCAAATATCACATAAACCTATACCATCCAACTCTACCGGTAGTTATTATATTACTCATGACTTGATTTAACTTCACTTTTATGGAATACAGAATAGAACGTTGAGACTATAATTTTATGGATCACCTTTGAGAGACGTTAAAAAGACCTTGAGAACGTCAAGCTATGCAGTGCGGCTAAATGAGGATAATAACCCATTGTGAGGAATTTAGATTAATATTTATAGTTGATAGTTAGGGTTAAGAATAAGATTTAGGGTTTTTATTACGAATAGACATCATACTGAAACCTACCTCATTTCTTATAATGTCCTTTCCTATAGAAATGTGGATCATTCAGTACTCCTTCATTTTCATAGCCATCTTCATTCTCAACATCCGTTTCATCTCCATCTCCATCCTCATATTCATAATCACCATCTATCTCACGATCTGAATCTCCATACTGGTCTTCTTCAATTGTATCTGTTTTACATTTAATCAAGTAAGAAAAAATGAACAGTGTCAAGCTGACTTCCATGAACCTCCTTATTTAGGTTTTGTGCAAGTTAGTACTTGCCAGGGATGAGTTAATACACCCAAGGATGCTCAAACCCATACGTCCTATCTTTACACTCTTAAACTCCTATCAAGGATCTTGTTGAAATATCATGATATGACGGTAGACATTTAACAGAATAATAAATTGTATTATTCAATGACATGAGATCTATAAGTTTATGTAGCAGCAAAGCTACCCCTTATTGTCAGAGAGGGGTTTTATGGATATTATAGTAATTTAATAGTTAAATACATGAGTCAATTGAAGATAGACCACGATGGAAAATCTGGAAGCACTGGATGGCCGTTTCGTTCTAGTGTAGGACTCCTCCTTAGCAGTGCTCATCCACGATGCTGCCTTGCGAGATTCGGCTCAATGGTCTAATGGTCAAGTGCTCGCACACGAGATTGATTGGTTCTGGATTCGAACCTCGCAAGACGGGATCGTAGATTCCCATTACCCCTTATTTATCGACAACACTCTCGAACCTTACAGTTTACATCAAATGGACGGATTCTCTACCTAATTTATAATTTAATAGTCTCCATATAACTGACTAGTTTCATATGAGCAAATCAATATTAGTTGGAAACTTAACATTACCTGGAACGTATATAATATGTGATTCATTTGATTCGAAGATATCAAGACACGAATAAGTATACAAGGTATCATAGTGCTTAAAGCAATGTCATAGAAAAGAACAAACACCGGTTTTAATATGAGTGAGGAGAGCTTTTACATGAATCGAGGCTCTGAACTAAGTTTAGGACTAATGATTGTTGACCCTTATCCAGAATATTAAACGAATAATTTTTTCTGGTTAGCGTTTTTTTAGCGAGTTGGTTTTCTACGGGATGGGGAAGCTAACCCCATGCCCAACCCTCCTCCTTTATCCGGGCTTGGGACCGGCATTAGCCAGCGGAGGGACTCCAGGCGGAGTATATTAAACGAAACCGACATTATTTTTCACAGTCAGCAATACTACCTTTTAAGCCTTTGAAGTCCTGAATGACATCATCTAATTCACGGTACCATATAATATCTTTGTTATCAATAGTATTAAATGTTTCTATTTGATCAATAATGACTTCATGAAGGATAAAGTATTGAACAATTCTCTTGTAAATTTGAACTGTTTATTCAAATTCTCAAACTTTTGTCAAGGTTAAAATTGAAGAATATATAGAACTCAAAACAACTATCGGCAAGTCAATATGAAAGTCACGATCTTCAATACGAACGTCAAAACAGTCAGATCTACTGTACGGAGCTGAAACTCGAAGAACAACTATAACCATCACTCAGAAGGTGTAGGTATTTATAAATAGTTATCTACGCAAAATACCTAACATCCATTGGCTGGATACCATTAGTAATAGCCTATTGTGGGAGGGAACAAACCAGCGTACAGATCAAGAGGAAATTGGGAAAAGACGATGGAAATGGACAGGACATGCATTACGGAAATCACCAAACTGCAGCACGAGGCAAGCCCTAACTTGAGATCCTGAAGAGAAACAGAAAATATGATAGCCAAAGAACACGGTGAGTCGATAATTGGAAGCAAACACGACGAAGATGAATAACAACTGGAAATAACTGAAAAGGGTTGTACAGGACAGGATTGGATAGAGAGTGCCGGTGGACGGGCTACACTCCTCCACAAGAAGTAACAGGCTTAGGTAAGTAAGTTTATTAAGCCTATAAATTATAGATTGTGCAAAATACAGTTTTAAAAGGAGACACATCTCAAATCGAATGACTATTAGTAGGTATTTCAATATCTGAATATAAATTGAAGTTTGTTTATTGATATGATTATTTGTAGATTATTCAGTAGAACATTTGACCGACAATTTAAACAGTATACATTTCAATTCATATGGTATTGTTTGTTTGTATCTGCCCGTTGTTGTTTTCGGACTACAATTGGTCAGTCTCTTATTGACATATTTGCTCTCTACATTTATATACCAAATTGGACTCTAAGTTCAGTTTGGGATACTTTCCTACTCTGCAGTTGTATTAGATACTTTATCCTCCTTAATTGTTTTACTTGAAGTGGACAGGTGATTCATCAATGCCGCTCAACTGGATTTGGTCGCCAAGAGACGCTCACTACTACCCTAAAATGTCAAGAGGACCTCATAATCGACTGACTACTACCAGTGGTCTTGCATATATGGAACCTGTTACCCATCAACCGGTTGGGGTAGAGCAAAATAACATCAGCACGAAGTTAATAAGAGATCCTTCTAGTCTTTTCTTTATCAGATTTTTACTCTCCAGTACACTACGTTGATTTGCCACTAATTTCATTTCACCACTCGTTACCTCATCTATAACTCGTAAATTCCTATACTTTTCCGCCTACTTTGGAAAACAACTATCCCACATTATACCCTTCCTAATGCTTGCACATCGATTGGCAATCTATACTTCATATTATGGTCAATTAAAGCATTGCATCGATGAGTTTCCCTCAGTCCATAATTTGTAACTGCCTGGTAAGCTTGTAAAATGGAACTTATAGAAATAGTGTTTTCCAGCCGAATGTGAAACACAGAGCATTGTGTGATGTATGATGTAGATCCAAAGAAAGCTCAAATGAGCTTAACATCACAAAAGGAGGGAGTGTGGAGGTACTGACCAGTAAGCATTGATGGTGAGACCGACGACGTCAATCCATCCATGTTTCTGAAGCAGAACATTTTGCTTGTACCAAACGTTTTATGACTGAGAACATGTCAATCAGTCTGTGATACACTCACTATTCAGACTTGTGTTTCCAATTTTATTCTGGATTACCCATTCTACTAAGATAACCTAAAACATGCTAACTCATACTTTCACATTAGAAATGCATGGCTAGCATCACATTTCACTCTAGCAACAAGAGCTAGTATGAATTTAATCCAATAATTTTCCATACCTCTCTCTGTTTCACTACAAAATGTTAAGCACTGTTTAGCGTTAATATTCAAGTGTCTTGCTGCTCCTTTGTTAATCTTGTTTTAGAATCTTGATCTGAGAGCACAGCTATGGAACCTCTGACGTCTGGAACAAACTCGGCGTACGCCTTTTCCCGAGGTCATAGTTTACATCACCCGCTCTAAAAATCTACTTTATAACAACTATAAATTGAAAAAGTTGTATCGCATAAATACAAAGCACGACCCGATGCCTAACACAATTATGGCGAGCTTGGATCTCGTGTGATGTTAGTCAGTGTTTGAACAATAAAAATTCCATAATGTATGTTCTACTTCAGCATTTGCAGTTGATTAAGCCATCTCAACACATAGCCAATATGAATTTGCTATCTTCAACTATTGTTAATCTATCAAGTACAAGTGAGAGAATTGATGGAAACACTGAGATGATCACATCATATCATTTGGTTGCAACGTGATCAACAAACTACTAATTAGTTGAGTCCATCAAAATCAGAGAGAATTCTACTCATAAGACCACTGATAATAATTATGCTGAAATACCAAAATATAAAGGTGTTATTCAGCATTGAGTTGAAAGAGAGAATGATGCTGACATTTCTCTGGTCATATTATCAAGGTGAGATATGTTAGCGTGATTATCTAATCTAACTAATTCACTACTAATTTTAGCATTGAACTGAACTTGGTGAATCAATGCAGTAAGTGAGCTTGATGTAGATTACGCACACATCGTGAACTAGTTGATGTTGTTATTGTAGTTATTGATGCACAATAGAATATATGAATAACCACATTCCATTATGACCAGTTTATGTGCACTTTTACTACCAAATTATTGAGTGAACCAGACGAAGAGAACACCAATCGGATGAGTTCATCCATTAATTCATTTCACAAATTTGATTAGATCTCATAGGTCCGTATCAGTATATAAACATGAGGTGTTTCTTATGTGATCAACTATCCACTCCATTCCAAGTTCACTTCATTTGACAGACAAAATGCGTTTATCAACGATGTGCAACATCTTATGCCTCACAATGCTCGTCACATTCATTCCCGCATATACACGTACGTTCCAAATATTTCTTTGATATACATTATATTATGTGAGACTCTTATTGTTAAGAAAGTGATTTGTTCGGGTAAGTGACATTTGTGCTTGATGAATGCGATTCCGTGAAATTAAAGCTGAGTAATTAATTTGACGTGAGAATAACATGGTTTGATTGTGAATGATCTAGTCAATGTGGTTGAACAGTTACTTAGAATAGGAGAATACTGTTTATTGAATATTGGCAGTGAGTTATGAGTATCAATGTTACAGTATTTGGAATGGAACATCAATTGTTAGTTTGACTTGTTTTATTGGGTCTCGTGAATCTCTATTCGTGGTATCACTGTAAATTGACCAGTCGTTTATCTTTCTCTAAATTTAGGTTCAGCGCTTTTACCTGTTGTTAACAATGACATCAACGACACAGTTGGACAAGATGAAAGTGAACAGCAATTCACACAATCAACGACAGAAGAAAACAGAGGCGATTATGATGATGACGAAAATGAGAAATTGGATAAGAAAATGGAGTATGCGATAGTAAATGATAGTGTTGATGAAAATGATCATAATATTATTATGAATATTAATATCAATGCAAATGAAGGTCACGAAAAACAACCTGACAATGGTGATGAAATTTTTGAAGATTTCCTTCATTTAATGTAGAGGCACGTCATTGAATGCGGTAAGTAATCTTTGTTGAACTGATCCTACTAATATGCAGTCATCAGTTAACTATCAACCCATTTCAAGGACACGATATGTTGTCCGATTATCATCTTCCTAATAGTCAACGGGAATTTACGAATCGTATTTATTTGCTTATCGTCGCATTTGATTGGATCACGGACGAACTGAACTGTTATTACACACACAGACACACACACACACACAAACACACACTTTCAGTTTCCGAATAAGTGAAAATGTGATACTTCGAACTTTCAAACACTAATTTCACTTGACAAGATGAATGCTACTCAGTTCGACTAGTTTGTCAATGTAATTCAATTGAACTTAATCATAGTCATGTACACATTTTACTTGTACTGAATCATCGTGTATCCTTCTCTCATTTTGTTTTCAGGTATCATGAAGAGTTCTGAAGACTGTTTGTTCGTCTGTTTTATTAATCTGGTTACAGTAAACACATTTGTGTATTTTTGATATTGAATTGAAATGAAATAAACATGAGTGAATTACGTTGTTGGTTTTCTTGATTGACGATCCAATAACTAACTTTGGAGAACAGAAATAGCATTTTGTTGTTACTAGGTTTTGTGTATTCACACATCTCTGTCACAAGTCGTCAGTGTTGAATGACTGTCTAGTGTGATGTGTATGCTGACAACTGTGCTACTTCTTCTCACCCATCGACATCTCCACTGTCTTCATCTTTGAATGATGAGAGTTGTGTGAATAATCCAACTTGGATTTCAGTCTGATGCAAATTTTAATACGAAATACGATTGGATGCTTTATAAAATGTGTGAGATATGTCAAAATAAATGATTGCACTATGTTGTATTATTTCGTGGGATTGTGCTATGCTATACGTTGAGAGACCCGAATGTGCAATGTCATCCACGACCTTCCTGTTAAGAAATCGCCTTGTGATCTAGCAATATGTTTCCGATTTAGTAAATAATCTTAGACACTGTACATTATACCCCTCTCCATGATTCGTGAAATGACTAGATTGATATTCGTCGATCGGTAATAAGCAGAGTTCTCTCTTTTCCCAGTGTTGTATTGCGTGACAATGTAGCAGGTGTTCCAGTTACTTGAGTATACGTCTGTATCTGATATCATGTGAAATATGTGAAGAAGTATAAGTGGTTGGTCATTACATCATTTAGGAAATACAAGGCGGATACCGTCAGTTTCTATACCCGTTGTAGTCTGAAGACAATTGATTGCTCCATACACACTTTTGCACCGAATGATGCATTTTCACATTTACTGGATGAAAGTGTTGTATTGTTGAGGTGATCAGGTCGCTGTCCATTGAGCTTTGTCAAATGGTTACTAAACATTTCTCATATATCCATAGAACGGTCGTAAATTATGTCATCCCACATTAGAAATGCAATATCTTTTGGTTTGCACCCACGTTTACACAGATAAGATGTTAGGTTATTTGTGTTCGAGCTACTTCTTAGAGACTCGAGTTCAATTCAACTCTCACTCCGAACATATAACATTCCAACAGATTCACACGTACCAATCAACATCGAGGTGAACATAACAAGCTGTGAAACACATGTGGCGTAATTCGAACACTTCACTTGTATCTGAAGTTTGTGCTGATGATGTCGTTCAGAAGAACGATGAAAGCTCCACGACCAAACAATCATGCTCAGTGAACAAAACTCCACCAAAATGTAAGGAGCATGTTTACCAATGTGGTGTAAACTTGTATGACTGATAAAGTTTGTGATTCATAGTTAATGATTCGGGAAGAGGATTAGATTTATAGTTTTCATCACGAACTAACATCAGTTAAAATGCCAAAACGCTATTTAGCCAAATGAATGAAGGAATTTCGCTCCATATTCCGAGACCTGTTATCGTAAATCTGATTGATTCGTCCATAAATTACAGTCTCACCGAGTAATAGAATATTTGTAATCAGTGTAAAATCTATCCTTTGTTTTCAGTAATATACCGATATGGTGCTAAAATATACAAAAGCGAATTTGTCACAATATCAAGATATTCTGTTATAATATTGAATGAAATTTAGGGAGGGAGAGAGAGAGAGAGAGGAATGATGAATAGGGCAATAAGCCTGGTACCGTTTCGTATTGAATATTTGATTATTTAAAAGTCAAACAATGTTCATTGTTCATATATCTTTTGTGACGATGGAACACAGGTGAACTTGAGGAAGGTGTAGGAGGCACAGAAGTTCTCGAATATATTCTATCCAATCACCTTTTGGAAGAATATTCTAGAGTTCTTATGTGTAGCTTCCTGATTGGACAATGCTAATAACCCCCTGGTGGAATGCAATGATGATTTTGTTCTTACTAAAAACTATAAATACCTGACAATTTTGTACTATAATTGACACTGTCTGGGAATAATATTGCTTTCATTAGTCTCCTTTCTTCTCATTGCTACTTGGAAGGGTTCTGGCGTTCTAGTACTCACGTTATACGCAGTATATCAAGAACAACCTTCTAGATATAACGTCTTTTGGATAAATTAACTTGATGGACTGATATAAATCTTGAATAGTTTTTTTTGGTAAGAGCCTGTAGTGACTCACATTTATCACGAGAACACGACTGGTTTAATAAAAACAATTATTATTATAACCAACTGTACCAGTGTTTGTTTTAACGTGCTTTTGTTTGACTGTGCTAATGACAGCTACTTTGTGCCTCCATTCTTATACTCACACTTTCGATTGTAACTTCGCGCGAATTTGGTTACGTTCTGTAACCAAGCTTGTCGCCTGGCACGATCTCGGTATCCTTTCGATGCCACCAGATCGCCAGCAAATAAATATCTCGATTTGGTCCATTAATTGCCTTCTGGTATTTGGCTTCTCGGGGATTTTATGGGTTTCTTTGGTTACGTTCAACCTACGCCTTCTGATCTACTTGGCACGTGTTTCTTGGTAGTGGTGTTCACAGTTAATCTCAACTCGACTCCACGCTACAAGCCTATGGAGATACGTTCACAACTACTTAGTTAAAAATACAAAACACATTGTTATTATTATTATTATTATTACTGTTATCTGTAATTATCTGTTATATAATAGTTACATAATTACATTGTTCATTTTATGATATATGTAGTGAAATATATTGAAGATTTATTTATTTATTTAAACACATAAACATTAGTACAAGAAGGCATCAAACAGATATAGATAGGGGCTGCGATACTGCCCGGGTGCCCAAACCGAAGTAGATGGTTTTCTTAGAGGGACCACACTCGGACCTCTGACCTGAAGGTCTGATGCATAAGGGAGTGGAGCAATGTTCGTTGGTAGCCGGTCATCAACAATTGGTTCATACGCCATTTGTTCCATCAGGATCCTGAATCCCATGTACACTATTGGTTTGGAATCAGGGTTTTCCAACTGCTCTATTTGGATCCTCCATATCCACCAACTTGGTTAAAGCTCCGTACATTCACTTTTCGTCCTCTCAATTCCCTAAACAACAGTAATGCCGCGAGAAGGCAGTGAGTAGAACTTCTCTGGCGGTGGTTGTATGCACATGGCTAATTCAGAGCATTTCGAGAGGGTGAGCTAACTCTCCTCAATATCAGCAATACCAGGGCGTTTGGAGGTATATGTAATAAAAAGTGAGAACTATTTGATCCGTACATATCATCATTTCAAATGGGCATTTACGCAAATGTATTTCAGTTTCATTTCAATGTTGAGTTTGTTAGCTGAATCACATCAGCTCTACTTGTATTGACTTTAATATGAACAAGTATTAGTGTTTCACAATTGTGAGTTAACTAATATACTGATAACTGTGTTTATCTGAACACATAAATTCAAGATGAATGTTTTAGTCACTATTGCTTAGGTCGAGCGTCAGGAAGCTGAATACTACTTATTTGTTAATAGTTTTGAAAGACTGACAAATGTCAGTAGTATAAAGGCAGTCAATTAAGTACCATGGTTTTTTCCACATTTTAGGAATATTCCAACTTTTCTTCTTAAATTATTTCTAATACGTACATAAATATGAACTTGATGACTCTCTCTTTATGACTTCCATGTTTATTTATATTCATCTTATTAGAGGCTTCATTTTGACCCATAGACTACTATGATACAACTTACTATTCTTAATTTATACTCAATCGATTAATTACAGTCTCCTACGTTCACAGCCACTTTATGATTTGATCTTGTGTAGATGTTATTTTCTATTTTATGATCTGATATGGTCTGTTTGTCTGGTATATAAACCAAGCATGTTTGAAATAAACAATTCGCATAGTAGGAAGCTTTTATTGATGTTCTGGACTGAAGTAGACGAGCCAGAAGTGTAGTGAAGAAGAAGAACACTAGTGAGTACACATTACAGGACTCATTAATAAAATCGAACAATCATAAAATAAATGCTTAATTTGAAAAATGTCCACCAATTGTCTCAAAATCACTCAAACTTCATTGTTCTTGCATTTTCATACAAATTGCATTCTGTTTCCATTCTTTACTGTTCGAACCTCTTGTCTGTCTGCTTCCAGACCTTCTGTTTACGATTAATATCATATACTACTTATATCAATATAAGTAGTACACACCACAGAAGAACAAATAACTAATAAGGACGCTAAGTTGGTCATACTGGTCGAATGTCATTGCTATAGTACAGTACAAGTGTGAACCAATCGTATTTCGATTGGTGAATTAGTTACATGATAACTAGTTGAACTTAAAGTCACAACAAGTGATCTAGTGGATAAATTACTTTGCTTATAGACACTATGTTGTAATCAGTTCAAAATCCCTAACCCACCCCCTTATCTACTTCAGTCTAAGCAGCCAGTGATTGATAGTGGTCTTACTCTTAATCTTTACAAACAATAACACTGTACTTCCGACTTAATTGTACATAAAAATCGGTACTGATTCGTTAGTTGTTTGTATATGATAAATGGAAATAATAAATGAATAAAACAAAGAACAATGCAAATTCATTTATTGTACTATTTTATCATTTCAAACTATTAGTTGTTACATTTTAAAAGATACAATCCTGACTAGTCGGTAATCAGTCTTGCCCAGATATATAAAAACCTATAAAAGTATACAACCAAATAAAGATTTAAATCAAACCAATATCATTCAATTTTCAATGGTTGAAATCATGAGTCAATTGAAGCTGAACCATCATGAGAAACTTGGAAGTACTGAATGGTTCAAATCTTGTGAAGCGGGAACGTAGATGCGCACTTCTATGGAGGAGTACAACAATAGGATGAAACAGCCGTTCAGTACTTCCAGGTTTTCCATGGTGGTCTAGCTTCAATTGATTCATGATCTCAACTATTGAAATTACTATAATATCCACAAAAACCCCTTTTGATAGTCAATTTTCTTTAAAATAAATGATTACAGCTGTATTATTATAAAATACACCTACAACCTAATT